CCAACGTTTTCCCGACGTCTGGGAGTGTGGTCATTGTTGATGAAGATTCCCATCATGGACAGGACCTCGGGTCATGGTCGTGAACTATTGAAGGCTAATTTTCTGCTTGCCAGTATAATATTTTCTTCTTTTTTTTGTTGTTCTTGCGGGAAAAAAAGAAACCTGTCAATTGTTTTTTCTCTGGCAAAACTCGGTGTTTTCTCGCCAGATCGCTAGAGTTTTCGGATTCATCGATTTCTTTTCTGTTTGGAGTGTGTGTAACGTGGTAACTTTTCCAGGATAATTTTATACCCGAGGAAAGAAGTTGATTATTGAATTCCTAGCATTTCGCTCGAATATAATGAAAAAAGATTCTGTTGTTTACTGATGGGTCGATAACCTCCAATTCTTGGTTTTCTCAGAGATGTATATCATGTCATGCTGATGAATCTTTGAATTCTTGATAGTATGTTCGAAAACGAAATGTTCTTGCCTACAATTATTACGTGGAAGATAAAATTCTAACTCGATCGGGACCATGAAAAAGGCATGAAAATTGAATTGCAAGAAATCTCAGTTGGATAGAAGAACGTACAGTACTGGGAATTTGCCGTATGCAGTACATCTATTGGTTAAAAAATTTGGAATCTTCAATATTGCGCCAGTGAATCCTTAGCGTTGAATTATTTTTATTTTCTGCGTATGTTTTTAAATTTCGAAATAATGTTTTAAAATTTTCTCCAAGTAACACATTTTTCTGAATTACGATACCGAATTTCTGGATCACACATGGATGAAAACTGTGACCAGATCTGTGAATTGACCCTTCTTCGAACGTGATGGATTAATTTATGCCCAGAGGATGAGTTGAATTGATTAAAAATTAGTCATATTTTCGGAATCATTTTTATCGTTTCGGTTCTCGGATATATGTCTGTATCTACTATCGACAGATCATAGTATCCTGCGAAAGGTCTACTTCGTTACACGTACTACGGAAAAAAAATTATGACTTTTTCAAACCCGTTTCCCTTGTTCAGTCGAATGCGAGCGAGAGAGAAGTTGTTTTTTTTACGCTTTTGAAGGGGGGAGTGAACGGGTTCATTGAAACAAATACAATATTGTGCGTGGCGTATTGTTTGACGAGAATCGTGATCAATTTCGCGATTGGGAATCAATTTTTTGAATTGCAATTCCAGAGTGTGTGTTTTTTTGTGGACTATTGAAAAATATGGCCGAGTGGTCGTCGGAAACAGAAGAGAAATTCTTCTGGAATAAGAACATGTTCAAGAAAAACATCAAACGAAAGAACAAACTCATGGCAGCAACGAAGAACAAGCAGATGGAGGAGTTGGCGAAATACTCTTCCTGTCAAGTGGGTCATTTATCTTTTCTGATTGCCCTTTTTTATGTTGAGCAATATACTTGATAGCCAGGAATAATTCTTGAGAAGTGATGAAAATTCTTGGAAGAAATAATTCCATCACACGAAGGAAGAGCAAGATGAAATGAAAGAAAAATATCCGGGCATGGTTCAGATAATCAATACTTTATCAGTCCCTGGGAAAGCGGAGTGATGATTTTTGGACTACACCACATAGGACACATTTAATTCTTCTAGTGGAATCTGGAATACTTTATCCCTCACCTAGTAGATATAAATGAATTTTAGCTACCGAAAAATTACTCCAGATAATGGACTTCACAGAAATGTATTTACTTCAGGGAAAAGTTCTATTGAAAATTCGTTTTGCAGCCTCGTTTTTTTTGAAGAAAAGCTGTATTGATATTTTTTGTGTGTTCACAGTATTCAGTGATTCTCTCAAAAACAATGGGCCGTGAATTTCCGAGTCATGTGTGACAAATTAATTTATGACCAATGGTTGAAAATATTTATATTTTTCGTGGATATAATTACGCGCGAGTAATACCTAGTTTCCCAGAAAATGAATAATACTGAATGATCGATTATTTTTTTCAACAGGGCATTGACAACCCTTGTAATTGCAAGGGTTACAAGCATCACAATCAGAGCCTGGATATTGGTGATGATGACCAGCGGTTAAACGAAATTGGGGAAACGTGTAGAGCGTGTAAACATTCCAAACGTAAGCTGATATTTTGTCTTCTCTTGAATGAGAAGATTTCATCGTTTTATAATTTTTTTGAAAATGCCGAGTACAGTACTGTAATTTTCATTCAATATCGCTCTTGTGATTGATTGATTGATTCGTTTTTTTTTTTTTTTCAGGATCTCATTACAAGCACCTTCAGGAGCTTCCATTGGACCGGATACACGAGTTGCTGGGTTATGTGGTAGATCTTGAATCATTGTACGAATGTTTGTTGTTGAATCCCGAAGATGACTTCCGTCGCGACATCTATGTTCATCTGTACAAGGTAATCCGCAATTTCATCATGATTCCTGTAATACAGTACCGTA